GTGCGAGCTGCAATCCGCCAGCGAACCTGCGCCGCCGCCCCCCCTGATCCCAGCGCTGCCCCATCCTCATTTCCACGCGCACAAGCTTGGGGAACATCAGCACGCTATACTCACGCGCTCCTCCAAGGGCCAAGCCTGCAAGCGCCGCAACAGGGCTGCTTGGCAAGTCGGAGGCTCGACTCCAAATTGGAGACTGGGCGCGAGGAGAGTTTGGAGGTCCGACATGTTTGGGCAATGGAAGCTCGACATCTTCGGTTCAGGGGGGGGGTGCAACGTCTGCAAGATTAGTCGCGTACAAACACGGAAGAGACGCAATGCTCAAACGATTTCAATAAGCACGCCGTCGCGCACGGCGGCTCGCAGGACCCCGAACGGCTGCGGGGGGGGAAGGAAGGAGTGAATTTCCAGCCGGGTTCTGAATGAATATTCTGCCGGATCCTGAGTGAAAGCCCCGCCGGATTCTGAGTGAATTCCCTGCCGGATTCCGCGCGATTCGCGCTTCTTTTTTGCGCGGGCGGGCGCGAGCGGGGCCCTGGAGAAAATGTTCAGTCGGTCCCCCCCCCCCAGGTTTTCGCCAAAGAATTCGCCCAGGCATTCACTCGGGCATTCGCCCGGGAAGTCGCCCAGGCATTCACCCGCGAGGTTCGGCGCTCCCCGCTGCGCGACGTCTTGTCGGCCCGTGGCTGGGGCCTCTGAGTCGATGGGCCGCGCGGTTCGATGGCCGTCGAGAGCCGGGCGGCTGAACATCTGGCCGGGCGCAGGGCTCGCCAGTCCAAGTTCGAGCCGATCGCCGCGTCGAGGAGCCGCTGGGTTCGCTGTCCTCGCGCCAGCCGAAGGGGGGGGAGGGGCGCCCCAATCCCAAGGGGGGAACGCAGTTCAGGGAGATGGGCGGGCAGAACGATGCGGACTGCGTTGGAGCCGGCATTCATTGCGAGTCAGCGGGCCCTTCAGCCCACTGCGCCAGCGGACGCGCGCACCCACCTCGGCAGACGAAAACACCAACGTTAGAATTCAACGCGTCGCGTTGCCGAGCGCCTTGTCGACTTCCCCGCCTAAGCGGCGCGAGCCCCCGGGAGCTTTTCCGGGCCCTCCCGCGGAGCTCCGAGAGGCCCAGCCCTGTGGGGGCCTTCCCAGGCCGCGCGACATTTATGGGGCACGGGCCCCAACGATATCACATAGCCAGCGAGGGCCCCAAGAGGGCCCAGGAGGGCCCTGAGAGGGGAGGCCTGAGAAGCCCCGCCCCGACAACTTGCACAGAGCTCCGAAAGGCGCTCTTAGGCCCCCCCCAGGCCGCGCGATGCCGCTGGGGCTCCGGCCGAGCGACGTCATGCCAGAAGTCTCTGGCGCGGCATCGCTGGGGCCCGCGCCCGAAGGGTGCCGCGCGGCCTGGGAGGGCCCCATGAGGGCCCAGGAGGGCCAGGGAAGGGCCCCACGAGGGACCCAAGATGGCCCCCGACAGCTTCCGCAGCGCTCCGAGAGGTCATCTTGGCCGCCCCAGGCCGCGCGATATCGCGGGGGGCCACGCCCACCGATATCATGCCAGAAGGCAATGGTATGATATCGTCGGGGCCCGGGTCCCAACGATGTTCCACCGCTTGGGAGGGCCCCTGAGGATGGCCTTCCCGCCCCTTTCTCGGGGCCTCCGTTGCAAAGGTTGACCAAATATGTCCCCGCTCTTAGGGGCGATCAGTTCGACGATGTGCCACGCTGTCTCGTTCCTCGCCGCGCTGCGGCGCCATGATGTATCGGGCGGTGGTGGCGTGCTATTTTGTGTCGTGGCTCGCTGCGGGCGCCGCGACATGCCATGGCCGCCATGTCCTGGAAGCCCGCGGCGCGGCATTGCGCGCTTACCTTCGTCGGGGCAAGTTTCTTTTCATGGGGGTCACTGTGGGATCATGAAGTTGATTCGCTTGCCGCGCCGGCTCGCGCCAGTCCCAGCATGTTCGCGGCCGCAGTTTTGAAATGTGGTGCCGATGCGCATGCGGTGGCCTTGAACAGCCCTAGTGCCGCGCTGCAGAATGAGGGCCAACAACGCATCCGACCTCGCAGGACGGCGTTTTGATGTTTGATACATGTGCGAAATTCCCCCCAGTAGCTCGGGGTGCCCATCCGAGGGGCTGAAACACATTATTCAGTAGAGGTGGCTACCGCGCGCCCCCCTGATCTTCTTCAAAGTGATGCCAGGAGCAGGACGGCGCAGAGCAGCATCGCACTTGATGCTCTGGCCACGCGATTGGAGTCCATGGGCAAGGATGTTTCCCTCGCCAAAGATGCCGTGGAATTCACTGAACAAACGCATCGAAGGACAGCGCGGCATTGGAAGGCTCGGCAATTGACTTTGCCGGAGGCAATTGAAACTTAGAGGGGGAGGAGTGGCGCGGGAATGCGGGGCTGCTTGCAGATGAACCGTCACGCGTTGAGGACTCAACAGCAGCTTCTGGAACGCTCATGACATGGCCCAGGAACTGTGGATCCACCCTCGGAGCGAGAATGCCGCTCGCGAAAGTGCAACGCTCGCTCTCCTGACGAAGATCAAACTGAAGAAGCAGAGTCCTTCCGCGCAAGACATTTAGAGGCCGCTGAACGCATGGTCCGTCATATCGCCGCGACCCCCCACTTGAAACATTTGAGCAGGGCGATTCCTGTCAATGCGATAGCGACCACGAGTCTGGATCGGGTCCTTGGTGGAATGACATGGCCGATGCGTTCCTTTGTGCACAGCCTAGAGACCGATGGCGATGACTCTGTTGGGCATATTGCACCCGGACCTCGCGCGCGCGGCACAGGATCGAAAGCCGACTCGGAAAGTAGAGCGCACAGTGTGCAGCTGCCTTGGATATCTCGAAGATGGGCCGCGCGCGATGGTTGTGCAGGAGATGTTCCAGCGCCGCGCGCGTTGACAGAAGCTCTTTTTTTTTGCCGCGGCACTTCCGCATGGTTCAAATATCAGCTTTTGCCCAGCAGTTTCCCAGTAGCGAACAGCTTGCATCTCCTGGTCCCCGATATCGATTCGCCCTTGCAGACAATTGGACAATTGAATGTCCTGACAAAAATGGGGACCTGCCCACTTGAAGCGCGCGAGCATGCCCGCCTGCCCTTCACGTCTGCCCATGTCCTACAACGCCTCCAGGCCGTGAAGGAAGCTAGGCGCGGCGCGCCTGTCATACATTCAGCAGGCAGGTGAAGACCCCGCGAAGTTGCATGCCCCTTTTTCTACAGCGAGTGGCACGACCCATTCTGACACACTGCGCATCTCTGAACAAGGTCAGGGCGTTGTGCGAGAAACTTTTCAGCGCTCAGCTACCCGAGGCCCAAAGGGAGATGGACATGGCTGATGCGTCCGATCCTTTGGACATTGGTCCTTAGTATGATGGCTTTTTCGTGGAGGACGATGATGGTGGGATTTTCCTCGACGCTCAGGTTTTTGAATTTCCATTACCGAAACTCCGAAACTGATGATTTGGCCTCCAGACGACACAGGCATCCAATACAGTAAAGTGGCAGCTAAGAGTGGAAGAGCGTTTTCTCCTGCATGGCGGATGGGGCGGTGTGAAGCACATCCACCCAACCAACTACGCCCGTTACCCACCGGCTGAATATCTCGACGGGCGGTTTGTACCGATGTTGGCCAACGGCCAACATTGTGTGTACGAGCGACATATATTTATGTGTATATGTATACATGCATGCACGTTTGTATGTGCATACGTGTGTATATACATGTGCGTATGTATGTATACATTTAGACATAATGTACACTGTACATACACAGTTGTGGATTTACACGTGCACAAACATGTGATGCATAGTTTTGTATATCTCTCTCTTTCTCTCCCTCTCTCTCTCTGTCTCGCCCTCTGTTGTTTTTTTGTCAGTTCTCTCTCTCCCTCTCTATGTATCTGTTGATGTGCGTATAAAATATCACTTTCCTTTGAGGGGGCGCGGGGGGTAGTCTGTAGCTGTGTGTGTGTGTGCAGTACCGTTCCCCTTTTCCGCCTGCTCTGCGGTTGCCCTTTTCCTGATTGACTTATTGCCTTCAAAAAAAAGGCTGGGGAATGGGGTTGACAGGGGTGAATGCGGGGATGACTTGAGGGGGTATTCAAGTGTCAACGGATGCGCACGTTGCAAGTGCGTCCGCAAGTGATTATGACAATAGCCGCCCGGCGACTCGTGTGAGAGCAAGGTGGAGGCTGCATGTTTAGATTCTTGTTTGCAGGGTTGGCACACGTCACGGCATGCGTCTTGTTCGCAGACCACCACATTCCCACGATCAACCTCACACTTATTTCGACGGAGTGGAAAAACGTGAGGAATAAGGGGACGAGGACAAGGGAATAGGACCTTCCTGAACCCCCCCGAACAAAAGTACCCCTGACGCCCTCTCCAAAACCTCCTCCTGCCTCCTCCCTTCTCCCTCCCTCCTGTTTCCGTCCCTCTCCTTCCACTCCTCCCCGCCCTTCTCTCCCCCCGCCTCCTCCTCCGCCCTCCTCTCTCCCTCTACCTCTCTCCCCTGTCCCCCCCCCTTCCTCCCCCCCTCACACACCCCCCCCCTCCATTCCTCCTCCTCCTTCCCCTCCCCTTCCCCTCCCCTTTCCCATCCTCCTCCTCCTCCTCCTCCTCCTCCTCCTCCTCCTCCTCCTCCTCCTCCTCCTCCTCCTCCTCCTCCCTCCTCCTCCTCCTCCTCCTCCTCCTCCTCCTCCTCCTCCCCCCGCCCGCGCGCGCGGGCGCCTGCGCGGCCGACAGCCCGCGCAGATGCGTGCGCAGCAATCCTCCTCCTCCTCCCCCTCCTCTCCTCCTCCTCCTCCTCCTCCTCCTCCTCCCCCTCCTCCTCCTCCTCCTCCTCCTCCTCCTCCTCCTCCTCCTCCCTCCTCCTCCTCCTCTCCTCCTCCTCCTTTTCCTCCTCCTCCTCTCCTCCTCCTCCTCCTCCTCCTCCTCCTCCTCCTCCCCCTCCTCCCTCCTCCCTCAGCCTGCATGCGCCCGGCGCGGCGCGGGGCGGACAGGCGGGCGACCCGAGACCCCGGACAGCGGCCGCAACCGCTCCAAGGCGCTGCAGGCCTTCGCTGGGATTGGCCGCTGCTCGGGCGGCGACGGCGCCCGAGCACGGTCGGGGAACTTTTGGGTTCGGAGGAGGGAAAAGGTACCTTTCGCCGGTTCTTCCCTTCTTCGCCCTGCGGGGAGGCCCTCGTCGCCACCGCTGGATTCGCCTCGAAATCCTGGTCAGAACGCACCCCGGGAGAGGTCCGCGGAGCAGCGGTATCGGTACTTCTTGGTTTCTGTATGGATAGCGTGTCGTTCCGCTAGCTCTGGCCCGCCGCGCCTCGGCGCGACGCGTTGTCCACTTCCCCGGGTCCAAGCGACAGAGTTCCGAGCCTCCTGCCCCGCGGAGCGACACGCCGTCCGCTTGCCAGGGATAGCGTGCCGCAGGGGCCGCCGCCGCGACACGCTTTGAGCAAGCGTTCCTGACCGCAGATAGGGGTCGGAGGACCACGCCGCCTTGCTGATGCGTTGCCGATGCATCGGCGTTGCATCGCATCGGCAACGCCGGCGATGCGTCGGCTCTGTCGGCCGGGCTCCGCATCGAGCCGCATCGGCGATGCGGCGCGGTCCTTCGAGAACCTTCTACTCAGACCCCATTCGGGAGGCTGTGAGTGACGGGGCCGCTAGGAGCCTGTTCATTCGAACTGATCGGCACAGGTCTGTTCCTGGTTGAGGGTCGAGTGGATCATCTGCTACCTTCACTGGGCTCATGGCCGCCCTCCCGTGGCAAGCATGCCGTTGCAGACAGTTGGCTCAGGAGCGCTCTGGCGGGAGCGCGAAACGGCCCTTGCACCAGAATGTTGACGCAATTCCCCCCCCCCCCCCAAGCATCCAGAGCCTCGTGGCGGCGGTCTCCCCCGAGCTCCCAAGATGGCCCAGGCAGGTCACCCAGACAACCAATATGGGCCAAGATGGTCATTCTAGGGCTCTAAGGGGAAGGGGGCCAGCTTACATTACACCCTCCAGCTCCCTACGTTGCATGCTGCCGAGCCACAACTATACAAGGGGCGTGCACATCAGACGTGGCGAAGCCTCAGCTATATACCGGCCGTGTGACAAACGAGGCGAAGCCTCAATATTAGTACACGTACGCATTCATCTTTTTCAAAGGTCGCTGAAGCGGGGCCGACAGGCCCGTAAAGAGCTGTGTGCACGTGTCTGGATGCTGACGCGGCATCCTGCACGGGCCGCTGCAAACCCAGGGCCCTGCACAGAAAAAACACCACGTGTAGATAATAGTATCCATAACTGCAAGGTGGAGGGGAGGGAGGAGGAGCCCAAAAAGCTACAAGCCAAGATCGTAAACGGAGACTAAACGTGACGATCAAGAGAGGAGGAGGAGAGGAAGCGGCCACCCCATAAATACACCCCTATAAAATCGAGCCCGAGAAAGAATGTTTGAAAACTCATATTCTAGGGCTCTAAGGGGAAGGGGGCCAGCTTACATTACACCCTCCAGCTCCCTACGTTGCATGCTGCCGAGCCACAACTATACAAGGGGCGTGCACATCAGACGTGGCGAAGCCTCAGCTATATACCGGCCGTGTGACAAACGAGGCGAAGCCTCAATATTAGTACACGTACGCATTCATCTTTTTCAAAGGTCGCTGAAGCGGGGCCGACAGGCCCGTAAAGAGCTGTGTGCACGTGTCTGGATGCTGACGCGGCATCCTGCACGGGCCGCTGCAAACCCAGGGCCCTGCACAGAAAAAACACCAGCCCTGGAGAGAACGCATTTCTCGGGTCTGGCGTCCAGCCGCCTCACTTGGACCTCTGTCTCCTCTTCTGGCGCTTGCCACGCGCACTCGCATCAGGCCTCCGCGGCTCCTCCTGCACCGTAGTGCTGGACGCCGCCTCGCTCGACGTCTGACTGGATCCCATCTCGATCCTCCTCTGGAGCTGCAGCACCATGGCGGACCTCAGGGTCTGGTCGCCAGCCCTCGGCGAGCCCTCGATGGCGTCCAGCAGGCTCTTGATCGGGTCATCCCAGAAGCTCTGGCCGCGCATGGCGATGTCTCCGCCAGCGCGAGCCCGATGTCGGACGAGGTCGTGTAGCTTCGTGTACCTCTGCACGGCCGCCGCCGACCGCCAGCGCCCGCGACGCCTCGTGGCCTCGAGGGTGAAGCCGCACTCGACGTAGTCAGACGCTCCCGAATGGCGAAGACCGTGCGGAGGCCCGCACCACTCCAAGTCCAGCGCCGCCAGGGCCTCCCACCACCGCTTGCGGAAGGTGGCGGGGGTGAGGGGGAAGATCAGGTCGCCGTCCCCTGCGACGTCCTTCGCCGCCCGCAACAGGGCCATCACGAAGCCGAACCTCAGTACCACGCCCTGGTCGCTGCCCGTCTTGACTGTCTCGCCTCGAGCTCGCACGCCAAGCGCCAGACTAGCACTGCTTCCGTCGAAATGAACATCCTCCGTCCGCAAGAGACTCCAATCCTGCTCTCTCAAACAGCAGTCGAAGGAGAGCAGCACTAGAATGGACTCGTACAGCTTCCCTTGCTGGATCATCCACAGCGCGATGCAGGCAATCGTTGTGCGGGCCAAAGGCTTGCCTTCGCCCTGTGCCGCCATCCTCAGCCACGACTTGAGGGCCCGCGCCGACTGCGGCATCTTGTCGCGATGGTCCTCGTAGATGTGCAGAAACCCGAAGAAGACGGCGTTGCCCACGCCGACGCTGGACCGGTGGAGGTAGCACAGCGAGGACAGGTAGTTGGCCATCGCGGCGTCCCTCTCGGCGTACGTCTCGAAGGGCACCTGCTCCCTCTTCACGTCCTGCAGGAAGCTCCGCACCTCCTTGACGTACTTCCTGTTGGTGTTGTCGTCGACTGCATGGACACACAGGCGGTTGGCCAGCTGCGTCCCTCCCGCCACTGCGTGCTCCCACGCGCGGGCGCCTCTCCCTATCAGAGGAGGGGGAGTCGCGGCCCTAGACTTCGTCGAGCTCGCTCCCAGGCGCACCGCGTCGGTCCCGTCGACGAGCTGCATCACGATCACGACGAGGATCACCAGTGGATGGCATCGGGCTCGCCGCCCTGGCCCCTCAGCCGCCTGAAGGCCGCCCTCAGCGACCTGGGCAGCCCTCTGGTGACGTGGCCTTGGACAGTGTCGGCCGCGGCGCCCTTCGCGCCTCCACGAGACGGCCCGTCCGCCACGTTCAACTCCGAGGGCACCCAGCGCAGGTAGAGCCTGATCCCGCACGCGAGCTGCACCGCGGCGGCCATCCTGCACAGCCGCAGCAGCTGGTGCGACGACGCCCTGCCCTTGCCAAGGGCGCCCACCACGACCAGCGAGTCGGTGAAGACCAGGACCCGCCGAGCCCATGAGCGGCTGCTCCTGGCCAGATGACGCAGCACCGCCAGCACACCCCTGCCCTCCAGCACGTTGTTGTGTTCGGCGCGCTCCCACTGACCCACGAACGTGGTGGCCCAGCGCTCGGGGTCGAGTCAGCTCGCCTCCAAGGGCGGTGCGGGCCGCTTCGCCGCCCGCCTCAAGTGCGGAGGCAGGGGGCGAAGGGCCCCAGGCGGCGCCGCGGCGCGCCCCACCTCCACGATGGCCTCGCAGAGCGCCGGGGGGTACGGGCAGGCCAGCTTCGTCCACTTCGTGCCACAGGGAGCTGTGCCCCGCAACTCCTGGTGGGGACAGCCCGTCGCCGAGCACCTCGCTGCCGTTCCTGAGCACCTCCGTCCTATCGCCAACAGCGCCTCGCAGGAGGTCAGGATGCGCGTCGGCTTCTTCCATGCCATGCCGAACTGGCAGTAGTCCACCTCCAGCGTGAACACGTCCACCCGCTGGGCCAGCGCCATCATCTCGGGCAGCAGCCAGATGAGGCTCGACGCCGGGTTCTCGAGCGTGAAGTGCACCCCAAGCGTGAGGGCCAGGGTGCACGCCTCGATCGCGACCAGCGCCATCAGAGAGCCGTCCTTCACCTTCCTGCGGTCCGCTCTCCCGAGACCCGGGACTCCCCACAGATGGGAGGGGGTTCGCAGCTTCGGGATCCTGGCTCGCGAAAAGGTGGAGCACGGCGGACCCGCGTGCACCCGCCAAAACTCGCCCTGCCTGATCCGCAGCATCAGCCTCGCGATGGTGGGCTGGTGCAGCAGGTCGTACTGGGGGCCGTTGTCGATCTCCCACGCCTCCGTCCAAGTGGGGACTCCCACGCGGAAACACTCGGCCAGAGCACCTGTCCCAGCGAAGAGCTCCGCCATGCCAGGTCGGCCCGTCACCCTGAAGCCCGTCGCCGCGTCCGCGTCCTCCTGGAACAGGTCGTCCTTCGCACTCTCCTGCCACTCGTGCTCCGAGTACGCCGTGTCCACCTGCACGCCCCATCCTTGCTGCCGAGCCCACTTGGCCTCGGATCTCTGTGCGTCGGGCGTCGCCTCCGTCGACATCACTGCGTACCCGTAGTTGCTGGCGTCCGTCATGTACGCCTGCGAATGCCAGGCCAGCGACAGCTCCGAGAAGAAGAACACCGAGAGCGCGGCCAAGGCGTGCAGCTCGGTGACTACGTCGGTCCACATTCGTCGAGGGCGAAGGCGATCGTCTGCCGCATGGATCCACGCATAGATGACGTGCGGGATAGCGAAGGCCGCCCGAGAGAGCATCATGACCCACGCCCAGTGCCCCATGACGACCTCGACCAGCGCGGGCGAGGCGGACTCCTCCAAGGTCAGGGCCTCGGTGGCCAGCACCAGGTCCCTCAGCTTCTCCTCCTTCACGCGACACCGCAGGGAGACCGGGTCGATGGTGACCCCCAGCTGCTCGGGCAGGCCGACTCCCTGGCTCTCCTTGTGCACTGCGAGGCCGCGCGCTGTCACCGCGCTCCTCGCCTGACCAGCTACCTCCGACAGCACCGGGTCGTCCGCCCCCTCGCCGAGGAGGCCTCCGCCGTAGTCGTCGATGTAGAGCCAGTACAACAGCTGGTGGTCCGCGAGGCTCGGGACAGGGCTGCCGTGCTCCACGCGCCCCGCCCCGTCGGACTCCAGGTCGTCGAAGCAGTCCATCAGCGCCGTGTGTGCG